TCTGCTACGCAAATAAATAAGCAACAGTAAGATAAATAATAAATAAGAAACAGCGCAGATAAATAAGCAACAGTAAGTTAAATAATAAATAAGAAACAGCGCAAATGAATAAGCAGCAGTAAGATAAATAATAAATAAGAAACAGCGCAAATGAACGAGCAAAATTATGAAATTGAAATCTGTTATTCACATGTATAAATGCTGGGAAGACCAATCAAGGATTTCAGAACCTTTTAAGGGAACAGATCGTTCGTTCACTAAAAGACGAAGAGCTGTTCCCTTAAAGATTGAATTTCAAGGAATCCGTTTTAAAGCCCTGATTTTCCTAAAAATGGGGAAAATGATGGGGCAAAATGGAGATCTTCTAACAGTAGAAAAGTCAACTCAACTGGAGTTTTGTTAAATCACTGTGTAATATTAATGTAAATTAGCATACCTTAAAAGCTATATGACAGGTGTGGTGTGGTGTATTTAATTACGGCAAAGCACACTAGGGCTATCTGCCTAAGGGGTGGGATGTCTTCGTGGAGGACTTTCTAAGGGAAACTGGATCGTATACACGTACACATGGGGAAAACACGAAACACCCATGCAGCCGCCCTTCGCGGATTCGAACCTCGACCGAACTACCAGTGTTCAGCGACTTTACCGCTCGGCCGCTCTATATGACAGGAAACCATTGACTTCCTTCACCTTGGAAATGAGCGTTAGATAAAACTCATCTTGATGCAAGAGAACTTACATTATCGTATCGATCTTTAGTGTCTGTCTGGGGAATAACGCAAGAAGTTGGCAGTCAATGAGTCAACCACATTATCATTGCAACTCGCGGCCGAATATATCTAGTATAGAATTAAAGTATCATTGCAACTCGCGGCCGAATATACATAGTACAGAATTAAACTATCATTGAAACTCGCGGCGGAATATACCTAGTATAGAATTATACTATCATTGCAACTCGCGCCGAATATACCTAGTACAGAATTAAACTATCATTGCAACTCGCGCCCGAATATACCTAGTATAGAATTAAACTATCATTGCAACTCGCGGTCGAATATACCTAGTACAGAATTAAACTATCATTGCAACTCGCGGCCGAATATACCTAGTATAGAATTATACTATCATTGCAACTCGCGGCCGAATATACCTAGTACGGAATTAAACTATCATGCAACTCGCGGCCGAATATACCTAGTAGAGAATTATACTATCATTGCAACTCGCGGCCGAATATACCTAGTACAGAATTAAACTATCATTGCAACTCGCGACCGAATATATCTAGTACTTCTTAAGCCTATAGCAAAAAGACAAAAATAAAAATTACAATCGATATTTTTAACTCCGAACAGTTTTTAAAGGACATGTCAGTGAACACTCAAAATACGCGAAAAATTTGGTTTGAGATTCACTTTCCTTTCTCAATGTGTTAATTTAGTGAAGACAAAATAAATTGTTTCGACGTATAAAAGTGTTTTTATGTGGATTATTATTATCTAATGATTTTTTTCCTATTTTACTTACTTTCGAAGAAAATAAAAATACGTTAATGCCGTTCTTCCTCCCCTTTCTCTTACTAATTTACTAATTTTATCATTCGAAAATCCAGTGAAGAATAGCTTAATATGTACAAGACGCTTTTACGTTAAGAACATAACAATTAAAAAATAACCATGGATAAACAAACTACCGGTAACTGTCATAACATTGTTCTTTAAAAGTAACCTACATTCCAGTAAGAATACATAGTAATATTAACATTGCAATATATATAATAATAAATCTTCCTTTCTACCTCCCTCTAACTTGAATCTTGCAAATTCTTATTGTTGTCCCTGTTAGTCCTTAGACCGCTGGTCATCTTAATAGTTAGAGAAGCCGAATATGCAGTTTTGACGTTCGATTGAATATTGACTCAGCGATTATATATTGACTCAGCCAAATAGTTGATTGAATGTCAGTTTATGTGGGCTTGGCTGTGACCGGTCGGTTCTTGTGTCAGACTGGTATAAAGCTCAAAAGTTAAAAGGGGAAGGTTAGGCATGACGTTTGTAGGTAATTAGCGTGGGTTTGTTTCTGTTAATAAAACGAAAACAATCACTATTTCCCGAATCCGTCAAAAATTTAAGGGAGGTCGTTTTTTAAACTTGTAGGGTTTATATTTATTTTAACTAACATTTATTTTAAGTTTAAACTATCTTTCCTGTCAAGCCTTACTTTCCCCTGGAACTGCCAATGCCAGAATATGTAAATTTGAGTAGAACGCGCAAGCATTCAAATTATCAGCGGAAGTAGTATGATTTAAGTAGAAGGAAACTAGTTCGGTGAGAGAGTTATTCTTACTTAGCGAGCGCGGAGGTAGAAATCGAGAATAGAAGAACCCCGCGTTGCGGCCTATGTGCTTGGCGGGGAAGTTAGTTGCAATTGTTTCCAGTGAGCTCAGTCTGCTGATTAGCAGCCGTATTGTAAAACGCGGAGAGTTAGTTATTTGAGAGAGAGCCTCGTAGTTAGAATTGTCTTTACTTTCTTTTCAGGTTCTTATTTTTATTGACTGCCGAGTTTGGCACCGCTTGTAAGCGTCAAGAGACGCAATTGTAATTCATTACGTTGAATAAAAAGGGACTTAAACCCTTTACAAGACTCTGTGGTTTATACAAGCTTTCACAGTCACCCTTGGTTGCGTGCAAGTTGTAGGCGCGCAACGTTATAAACTCACTGAGAATAGAAAAATTTACGCGAATTTTTTCAAAATTTTCTGAGCCTGGCGTTAAAAGGCTAGAGCGGAAAATAACCGAGAGATGGAATATGCAAGTAAATATGGTTCTTGCTGTTATAAAGTATAAGTATTCCATTTTTAAATTTTAAAACACTTAACATTTTATACAACTGAATTTAACTTTCGCATAATTAATAATTAGTCAAATTTTCTGATTAAAAGATAAAACTCGGGAAATAAAGCTATTAAAATCTGACATGCATAATATTTAAAGATTAATAATTTACGTTCAATTTTATCTTTTAATCACAGTATAACTAACAACTTGATGAACCACTACCACCGGGCAAGCAATGATTTTGATACCGAGTGAGAAAGGTTTTTCTTTACGTTTTTATGTGTTCTTACCAATAGATAAACACCTAGATGTTTTTGCCATTCTGGTTTTAGAATGATCTCTCTTATTATTACTAGATATAAATGTTTCTTAAGTCTGTTGTAGTATACTCAATTTTAAAATATATAGGTTCACTTATATATAAATATACAGGTACTGATATGATATGACACTTTAAAATATACAGGGGCATGTTTTCTGTTTCTGCGTGAGAGTTTTTTTCGTGAGATTCGTAGCGCAACAACCTTATGTGTCGCATAGATTTTAGTCAAGACGCTATCGATATCGAGAGCAAACAAGTACAGGTTCCTATTCATCAGAAGTACAGAATCCTGCAACGAAAGAAAACCCAGGTTGTATTCATACCCAAAAGGAGTAAAGCGAACGAGAAGGTAGCGCCATCTGTCAGCTTAAATAGTATTGAAAATTGAAAAAATTAATATAATAGAATTTTATAAGTATTAGGAAAGACTGGATTGGAATTAAAGCCATTAACTAAACAAGAACGTGAAAAGCTTCAAGAAAATCCAGTTCACCCGTGAAAAAATATTTTGGGATAATTTTTGCAGACCCGAAAGTCAAAACTGTGAATAAATATACAACTATGAATAGCTATTGAAGACTTGTCAATTTCGTCTTTTCGGATACAGTAAGATTCGTGTTCTTTGATGCCAAACTTCAATGCTGCTTTAGTAATTAAGACACAGTAACACGCCGAACAAATACTAATTCAGACGTCAAACAACAAAAATCAGCGTTATATTTTCAAAATTTCACAGGACTAGTTTCGATGGTTTTACCGAACCACCATCGTCAACTGCAAAAGTTCATTAGCTGCTTTAGTAGTTAGGCCCACATGTCTCAGACCAGATTTACAAGATGTGGCATAAATTTGCGTCGAGTCACTCTGAATGTCCGTTTCACTTTTCAAACTGTTGCTACCAAATATTATCGCACTGTATTATATTTGAAGAAATTAAATAATGAAGAATCTGCATAAATGTATGCATGTTTCTCGAACTATGATAAAACAACGGTACCTAGAGCATCTAATTTTGAATGGCGTAATCCTTCTGCGAATACGGGCATCTGGAAGCACACATTTGAATATTGTTTTATTATCGATTTTATATTTTGTAAATTTTGATTAAGAAACTAATTAAACAAATTTTTGATTAACAAACACAAGGATTTCAAAGCGAGCAATGGTAACGTTGTATAGGAAAAACATTTTTATCTCCAGCGCGTGAGACTGTGTATTGGAAATTCTAAAGATTGCTCAGTTTAAAATTACTTTGCGATATTGCTCTTGAACTGAATTTTATGTTTCAGTTTAATAAATAAAGGTAACATACGCAATGTTAAGAAAACGCTCCTTGGGACGAAATTTAAAATCTGAAAACTTTCAGGTTTTCGTTGTATATTATATATTATTGGTATTGTTTATTTATTTATTTTGTAAAGTAAGGAGTGATCACCCTTATTAACTACAATGTGTTTTTGAATCGTCCTTTATTGACGCCATTTGGAATATGACCGCCATCTGTTAATCACTGTTACAATCATATCACATAAAATTACTTTTATTAGTTCTTTCTTAACCTCAAATCGCATTTCTATAGACAGATTTCTTTGGCTGTTTGACATTCGTAAAATGAGAACGATCATTATCTGAAACTTTCTTCACTATGTGAAAGGAAGTAAAGGTCGCTAATATTTTGCGTTGTTAATTGAATATCTGTTTAATATCGACTGATATATTTTCCATCTTTTTTGCATACGCTTTGACACAGTTATTTCTTTTAACATGGTGCTTAATTTTGTCATTATGTTTGCATATACGTATAGTAATAATAATAATAATAATTCGTGTTTCAGCATGCAGCTTTCTGGGGGAAGGCATGGTCGCCATCGTGGGTCCGAAATCTCCGTCCAATATGGGGGTGTTGCAGTCCACTTGCGACGCCTTCGAAATGCCCCTCTTGCTGACACACTGGGCCCTCAGGACACAGGCTCGAAGGTATACCATAAACCTCTTCCCTGAGAGTCGAATCTTAGCAGGTGCCCTCACAGAATCTTTGGTACATCAGAACTGGAAGACTTTCACGCTCATATTTGAGGATAACGAAGGTAAGACTAAAGTTTTAACTGTCAATAAAACTGTAACAAAACTCAGAGAAGTTTAAGTGCTTTAAACTTTATATTTGCATTTTCAATGTTTTTCCTTTAATAAGCCTTGCAAAATCGTGCATGCTCAATGTAATATATGCATATTTTAAGAGAATAAAATTGGCTTTAGTCTGCAATTAAACCCTGAATGATTATTTCGTTTAGAAATCAAAAGTTAAATTTTCAAAATATCTATAATCTGCATATTAGCACATGGTAGATCTTTCATGAGCTGATCTAAAATCTGAAATTTAGGCAAACTGACCATATTTTGTACCTCGAACACTATTTACTTTTGAGAGCATCTGTCGCTTGCGACTATAAACAAGTAATTTTCAATTGGAATTTCATAAGCTTTTATAAAGAAATTTCTTCTGAATCACTCAGAGTTCTGAATCTTAGTTCTTAATCACTTCCCCAAAATTAAGTAGTTTGGTGAAATATGCAACGCTTAAGAATTTCTGTTACACACAGAAACGCTGTACTATATTCAGGATAAATGTAGACACTTTGAACTGCAACACAAAACCATAACAATATTTTTTTAAACTCTCTTTAAAAATAAGAAATGAAATCGGCACTTATATACCAAGGTAAAACTGGGACACCCCCCAAGAGGAAATGCAGAATGTAGTCGTAAATAGAACGACTTTAAACAAATTTCTTGGGAAATCAAAACAACTTTAGGGTAAAATACCCATAATGGGCCTCTAATTCTCTAAGTTATAAAATAAACTTTAATTTTATTCGTAAAGGTAACAGAATTATAGCTGCCTGATCGATACACATTTATTTTCCTATAGGATATAATCTAAACAGACCGTTAGTTTTTGAGTTCGAATCATGTTTTCCAGAAATGTTCCGTTCATTCTTTTTCCTGTAACAGTAAATCATAAGTTAATGCATTTTGTTTCTCTCAATGAGTACATCATTTTACATTAAATTATCGTATTACTAAACTCCGCTTTAATATTTACATATCGTTTTTCAAAATCACAAATAATAAATTAGGTTACTTTTGAAGGAAGGACCATTTTTGGATCATTAATTTTCAGATTGCCAACTTAGACCGATTTGTAATTTATATTATTCTTATATTTACTTTTATGTTTCTTACATTATCACGCTTACTCATAATTACGTTTATGGCTTATGGTCAAACATCTATAGAATCGAATCTATAGAAAATATTCTGATACCAGAAGGGGAACAGGACTAAATTTATCTACAGCCAAGTAAATAAAATCATAAAAGGCATAAACAGCTGGTCTGTAGGGCAGTGGTGCCCAACCTTTAAATCTTATGTGATACATGTGAAATATTAATTTCGGCAAATGGATTTGAGATGAATAATAATATTGGTTGAACTTTATGGAAATCAGAGAAGCGGACTGACAAAATTATTTTTCAGAACATTTAGGTTTTCTGAGTATTTCTCTGTTTCAATTACCTTGTGGTTATTAATATGGCTTGACAAATTCTGAAAATGCGTTAATTTTTTTTTCATCTGATTTATCCAAAAATTTTATCTGAAAAGCAGTTACAGTCCCAGTTAATTGGAAAAAGAATTTTTTTCTTTTCCCTGGAGATCTTTGTTCAGTTTGTTCAGTTTAGCTCACCAATCAGATATCCCGAAAGCGAAAATTCCCGGAAATGTTGATTTCGATGACCATCATGAGTAGCTTTCATATCTATATTGTAGTTCCAAAAATGACCAAAAGATGGCAATATGATGCTACATCCCTGAAGAATGAAGCAGAGTGAGAGATCAAACCGTGATGCAGTCTTTGAGAAGTGAAGTTCAATTCATCACAAGATAAAAGCTTGGTACGGTGATTCATATATCTCCTTGTAATAAGTGTGCGATTGGTATAGGAAGTTGAGAGATTTCTGTAGTGGACCTCAACTTTATTGGCAGCAAAGGTCAGTTTAATGTCTTCTGGTGTGTAAATGGAATAATTTCTGAGCATCACGGGGAAAAGCGAGTAACAGTGACAAGTTTGTCTAATTTAAGTTGCATCTTCAATATACTTCGCTTTGCAATCAAGTCTAAAAGACAGATGATCATAATAATCCAGGATATGAAATAAGAAATTCTCATATATCTACTTTATTTACCATATGTCAACTCCAGTGTTTTGAAGGCTGAAAGAAATGATGGGAGGCAAGCGTATCCAAAGAAATGGAGATAATGTAAAGCCTCGCGGCTTTACACTCACTTCATATAATTTTCGTTCTAATATCTGCATGCAAATACTTCAGTCCATTAAATTTTCGACTCTGAATATGCAAGCTATAATTCGATTCTTAATATAACAATTCAGAATTAAACAGCTTTATAGATTTCAGACACTGCTGAGTTTTCCAAACCAATTCCGATATTCCATTGCTGAATTCGTTGTCAAAATGCCGTGTAATAATTGCAAAAATTCCATTATATCATCATAGTGTATAGTGTTGTATAATTTACAGTATATTTAGAGTTAAATATATTAGAATTAAAATACATTCAAAGCAGTGATTATCAACATTTTATTCGTCACGGTACACTTTTTTTTATTTAAAAATTTGGCCGAACACTAATAATAAGATAAATTTAAGACGATACCATTTTGTTAACTGATTGATGTATCTATAATATATTTTGTAAGAAGGGAATACGATGTTGATTTTCAATAAAATGTGAAATAAAATTGCATTACAAAGTAAACAAAGTGTTTATTTATTGATAAATTACAAATTACTGCATTTAATGCGAAATTTGAAGTTTGAGATTGGCGTTCTTTGATAATATTATTTATATTTTTGCGTAAAAATTATAATGCTAATTTAATTTTATAATCCAGATTTACAAATCTGGATTTTTTATTTTGGTTTGTTTGTTGTTCAAAGCCGCAAATAGGTATTCGCACAAATAAAATGTGGAAAATTGGAATAACATACTTAAAGCATTTCATGATATTGTCGGATGATGGTATCTAAGATTAATCCAAATTGAACCAATTGATTCTGCTGAATGTTTTGCGTTGGTACTGCGATTCTGCCAGTTCACTTTAGTAAGTTAGAATTGATATACCTACTTGTCTGACTCCACTTATGCATGAGTATTTGCACTGACGTCCCGTGACCTTAAGATGTAGAAAATTCAAACTGTCACCGTATAAGAATTATACTGCATGAACACATTCGAACTACATATAAGTACGTACTAAATAATTCTAATTGTCCTTTAACTAATTTAAATATTTTACTATTATTACCGAGCTTGCATAGGCGTTTTCGTGGTTTTACCCATGCGTAACGTATATAGGAGCCAATTTCTCTTAGAAAGCCCTCCATGAAGGCATTCCTTCCCTGAGGCACATAGCGCTCGATCCCTTCCCTTAGGCAGATAGCCCTCGATCGCTTCCCTTGGGCATATAACCCTTGAGAGCTTTGCCGTAACGAAACAAACAAAACCAAACCTTACGATTGTTATGGCGATTATATTTAAGAAAGAAAATGGAAGAATATTCAGAAATCAGTGAGAAAATCTACTTGATTTTGAAGATTCATTTGTAAAGAGAATTTTAACAAAATACATATAAACTAAAATATTGAGCAAGCAAAATTAAAAAAAAAAAAAAAATGACGCATAATAATCAGACACTTATAGTTCATATAATTCAGTCTTAAGTTGCACTGGTATAATTTGAAATAATGTTTTCTTAATATTAAGTTTGAAATGACAAGCTCTTCAAAAGGATTGCAACTTTGAAGTATAAATATATTAAGACGTATTAGACCTTTTAACTTGAAAAGTATTGTAACTTAATTGTGCTGCGAAAAAACCCTTGAAATTGTGACCTTAATTTTCAGACAATAATGCTATTAAGTAAGGTATTATTTATTATCTGTACTTAAATGATTTAAATTTCTTAGTTACACTTAATGTATTAAATAAACTGATTATAAAGTTTTAAGATACATTTTTGATTTTAAAACTAACCAAATTTTGAAAGCGCCTCATATATACAGTATTTTATGCTGCGATTCTAATGTTTACATGTAGTGTAACATGAATGTCCGCCTGGAAGTTTTAACCGAAATGTTTCTATTGCTCTCTGTTACTCGGCTTGAATATCTTCTAACGAAGTCAATATGTTTCAAGTCATACTAATATATTGGACTCATAGCTACAACGCTAAGATGAAACAACGAACTTAAAATGAAGTACTCCGACATTTTCGGAAGCATAAAAAAGAAGAAAACTAGGGATATAAGAGGAACTATGTTGATAAGTTTTTCAAAGGAAAGGGGAATGTTCATCAAATAATTTTTTCTACAGTCTAAGGCATTTGTTGTGATATTCTAAGATGTTTGAGAAATGATATTTTCCCCTAAAAGATCTCCTATCTTCAGGAATGGAAGTTTATTTTATAAGTTTATTTTTCCCACTTTCTTAGCATGCCTTCGTAGTGTAGTGGTCAGCACCCTCGGCGCGTATTCGAGAGGTACGTTTTTCGATATCTGGCGAAGGCGTTGCTCATTTTTCATCTCTCCTGCTTCGAAATAACCTAATGTCTTTCCACTGGCGCCCGAACTAAAGAGGGTGGCGAATAATTATACTTCACACCCAGGATTTGGCGATTTTGTCCCCTAAACAACTCCAGTCGCCCTTTAAAAGGGAAAGTATATAAGGTATTTCTCCAGCCTTCTTAGCATGTCTTCTTAGTATAGCGGTCAGCACGCTCGGCGCGTATTCCAGAAGTCCGTGGTTCGATTTCTGACGAAGGCGTTGCTCATTTTTCATCTCTCTTGCTTTGAAATAACCTAACGTCTCTACAATTTCTTTATACTTTAAATAGAAAAAGCTACATTTTTTTAAGTTGCAACAGTTTTGGGCATAAATAAAAACTAGGTGTGTGTCTCTTGCAATCTTATTCTCCAGACTTTATAACCGGAGCCTCTTTTTTCCCCAAAAGGCCCAAAATTTAAGGGAAAATTTCTTATCTTACCTCCCCAGAGAGCATTCAAGGCACATCACAAAGTGTCGAAGCCAAAAGTCGCGTCAGGTCAAAGTACCCGGATGCTTGAACAGTTCAAGCATGTGGAAAATATAAAGACATGGATAGAGGTGGGTAGGGGTACAGACGTGTTGAAGCTTTGAATAGAGTGGAGACCAGATTTAATTCTGATAAAGTTTCATAATTTACTCAGCCATAATTAATGTAATATGCATCCTTTATACTTTTTTTATAACACATTAGGAAATTCAAATTAAAGGGAGTTGAAAGTTATTTCTAAATGACAAAATAAAATACATATGTAATTTGGAATAAATATGAAGTAATAACATTGTAAAATTGTGCTGAAAGTTTTTTTTTCACTATATAGTTTTATTTATTTATATATTTATTATTATAGCCTTAATTCGCCTTCAGGAGATTTTACAATTGCCTACAAAAACTGAAGCCGAAGTTCAACAGCACCACATGAAAGTTATGCTACGCCATATTAAGCCAGACCAAGACTTTAAGAAACTCATGAAAGATCTCTCTAACTCGAGAGAAAATAATTTTGTTGTAGATCTACCACTGAGTCGAGTACACCAATTATTCCATGATGTAAGTATTAATTTTTAATGTAAAAATTTTTAGCTTATTATGATTACTTTTCTTTTCAAAGCAGCACTCACAATCAGACGATTGTTTGTTTTTTTTTACTCAGATAATAAAGCAAATAATGTCGCCCATAATAAAGAAGGTACAGCATTAACCCTAAATGTATAGAACAGCTTTCAATTATTAGATCAAAAAAATATTTGTAAAATCTAGCCAAAATCATGAGAGCAAGAAATAGAAAGCTTCGCTAAAATCTATTATTTATTGTTTTAGAGTTCTGCTTAATTAAATCCATTTTGATTATTTAATATTGTTATTTTAATATGCAAAGTGAAAATAATTTAAGCAAGAATTATTTCACCTTTTTGCTTTATTTGCAATATTTGAAATAAAATACCTTGCACATGCCAGCAAATAATAGGATCTCCTTGCAAAATTCAAAAAGCGAGTAAAAAGGATGCCACACAACTTAATTATAAATACTGAAGGAGAAGAATGTCTGTTTTTAAAGATTATTTAACTAAACCTATTTTCTGATCAATTTACCAAAGCGTTTTTTAATCTTCGTAAGATTATAGACTAAACTGTTGGTTAGTGTACAGATATGAACTGATAATATAGTGCGCATAATTTAAAACTGATTTTATTCCGAAAAAATTGAACTATTTAATGTGTTTTAAAAGAATCATATAAGTGAGATAATTTAATTAGATTATAAGAAGTTGCATAATTTAGTTAGAATTGAAATATAATTTAATTAAAATAACAAAAGATTTAAACTGATTCTTAGTCTTCGATCTAAAAATTTTTATTAGGTGCTTTTCTGGATGAATCACAATAGCATTCCTTCAAAGAATTTAGAAGAATATTTCCCAATGTTATAACATCTTTAAACTCAAGCTCAGTTTAACCGTCGATAACTACTTTAATAATGTATGTACATTCTAAAAACCGTGCCCTCCATGTATACAGGGTGTTTTTCTTTAGAAAACTGGCATTACCCCGAGCCATCTGTAGAACGATTTATCGACTGGAACACCACACAGTTTGGTAAGTGGATTAATGACCGCATAGTTAAAAAAAAAAGAAATAGTTCCGAAACTCGCCGATAAGGAAAATTTGTCGCTCTTCTTGTTTACACAGCTGAAAATTTGTATAAAACACAGGTAAAATTTGTAAATTTAAATGCACGGTTAAGCAAACAATAGCAGCATAAGGAAGGGACACCGAAGAAAATTTTCTGGGTTCAACATGCGTATTACATTACTTCAACGCGCGCTTTGTGAAGTTGATTTTCTTTCTCAATCCAATTCCTTCCAAATCTTTCTCAATTTAGTGTAAGTAAATATTTGTACTTTAAACTTTTGTTGATGATTCAGTGATTTCAAGAATGAGTTACATGGTTCCACAACATATGACTTCGTTAAGATCTGAATTTCTCTTATAAGCGTAAGTGATGATCTCTGTATTAAATCGTATCAACTATTTCTTTCACATTATTCGTTAGCACATGTTTAGTCAAAGTTAAATGGCAATCCAAGGGCATAATCCGTAAAGCCTTTTTTACCTGGCAAAAGCCGTAAAGCGTAAATAAAAATTTAACATTCTGAAATTATGAAAAGCGTCAAGATTAAGAATTTTTAAAGGTTTAAATCATGTCTTAGCGGGATTAGAGACTGATTACATTTCATTAGTCTACATAAATTCCACTGTTAAAACATTTTAATTTCTCTAGTTCTTAAATTAAACTACATATTTTGTAACATAATTTGTGGCGCATGAATTCATCGAAATGTTTTATTATACAAAATTTGAAGTATAGAACTTCCATATTGTAGTATTTTTTTTCTGTATTGTATTTTATATATTGTATTAGTATTTTTATATATTGTATATATCTATATTGTATTAGTATTTTTTTCTGTATTTTTGCATTTAACAACTGCATACATGCTTACTTCTGTTTTCACTTTTCCTTTCATTATCTAAGAACACACATAGCCCTCAACTATGGAAGCATTAACTGATTGCGGTAATAGGTATGAAATATATTTCCGACACATGCCGCACTTTCCTTTAGCTATCTGTTGTGTTTAATTTCTGTTCAGTTCGTATCAAATAGTACTATGGAAGATTGAGGTTTCAGAACCGAACATTTGTTTATATTTCAGAAACACGCGTTCATAGGTCTACGCTAAAAGGAAAGAAAAAAACACGGGAAAATGCATATACTAGTTCTTAAAAGGATAAAAAAAAATACGAAAAAAATTGCATCAGTCCCCTCGGGAAAGAATCCCATTTGATATTCAAAACGGAGGTACTCCTACTTCTAATGCAAATACACATTTACCGTCTTTCAAAGTAACATTTTTATGATGCCTATTTGCGGTCTTTTGCTAGAATGGGTACTGGTTGGAGAGATACAGGGACATAATAATTCAAAGTATTAGGCCGTAGGAAACATTCAAACATTCAGTGATACATATCACCAATTATTACGAAATTAAATATTGTTTATTATTTTCTGTGTCTTCGTGCCATCAAAAATGCTGAATACATATAAATGAAACTAATAAATAAATAAAGTGTTTTAAACATACTGATACGAAGTATGAAATTTAATTAAAAAACACATTGATAACAAGTAGGATATAAAGATAATTCCAGCATATTTCTCTTTGAAATATCTTTAAGATGGAATTGAAGTGGTATAAGGTGAGTTTAAAGTTGGAAAGCAACTTTCTTGTTATGTGTCCAAAACAATTCTGCGATTATTTTTAAGATGAGGAAACATAGATTTTTCTTCGGAATTGTAGACAATATAAGAAACAGACAATTTAACTTCTGAATATAAACAAGTCTACTATTCATAATTTAATTTCACAAGTTTTTTTTTTTTTTTTTTTTTTTTTTTTTTTTGAAAGCAAACCACGAAGTCGGGATTTCAAGGCGTTCCATTCAGTGCGAAGGAAGGCGGACCATGAGAGATATTTGCGGTCCTAAAAGTCCGTAACTCAAATTAACTGTCAAAGCTCAACGAATTTTAGCGTGTCAACTAAAAGAATAACTGTCAGAAATATTTTAATGAATATAAATTTGATGGTTGAAAACAGGGAAAAGATCTCGGTAAACTGAATCCGGGGGGGGTATGAATATCAAGGTCAAATTAGGAAGCCTCAAGATTTTTGTAATTCGTTTGTATTTGTAAGTGAATCTAAATTTTTTCTGATAGTGATAGATAGGTATTACATTATTAAATCTATAGATTAGGTATTACATCTATAGTATTACATTATTACATCTATAGTTGGGCCTAATATGCACTAATAGTAAACAGGTATCATTTCTCCATACTATTCCTCTAATACAAAACTTACTAATTGATGGGTTACATGTTATTGCAATGCATACTGTTGCTTTCTTACTATTCGTTATGTTTATACAATTTCAAATCTGGAAATGAGATATGACTTTCGAAACTGGAATTAGGTAAGTGGAGTACTGTTCATTTGATGTGCCTTTTACTTGCGCAAATTTTCCCTATCACAGCAACATTTGCAATCATTATTACATCTATTATTCATTTACGAATTAGCTATCGTGATACTAAATATTATATTAAATACGCTCTTAGAAATGCCTCATAGTTTTGAAGATAGAGGATCTGTTTGAATGATGTCTATGGATACCGTAGTACCGTAACAGTGAAGAAGAGTCGTTATGTCGATTATCTGCTCTTCATCTACTTGGTTTTTACTGCATATTTCTTGAAAGTCTGTCTCTGAGAGTTTGCTGTAGTGTGCAGCTCTTAACGGGTCTTCTTTTTCTCCGCAAATGCCGTTGTCTTTGAGAGAGAAATTCCTTTTGTAAAAATACTTCGAGAATAGATAGTGCACAGTCAAGTACTGATTTAGGAAGAAATTGGTATCCTTCCTGTCGTATTTTGCTTATGACCAAAATTCATTGACTCTTCTGCCGTGAAGAACATTATACAAATCATTTTGCTATTGTTTGTTCTCTATATTTTTCATCCAGTTGGTGAGATATGACCTTGGCCATTTTATGTCTAGGTCATGGCAGTTAAACTCTGGTTCGCTGAGAATGATGGAAAACAAATAGTATTGCCGAACTCCAACACTGGAGAACAAGGTAGAGATAGTCGGACATCTGGGGATGTATGAGTCGCGGCGTTAAAAATCTACATTATACTCATAGCAAAATGGATAAAATTATCTGTTTAAATAGTTTTAAACAAACAGGAAAACGAACTGCTCAAAAATTAGTATAATGAAGTATGATAACTTTATTAGGAGAATGATCGCAAGCATAATTATCATATTTACAAAATGTGCACTTTGTGTAATTGTTTATCAGTAATAAAACGCATTGAGGGAGTCCAGATCTTAATATTATTGAGCACATTTAGGATAATTTGTATTTAATAATTTAAAGTTTATAATAGAAATTAACTTAGAAGCATTTATTGTTAAAAGTAATAAAAGGGGATGAAAATCTTCCTGAAAAGTCTTCTGAAATCTATTTTACAAGACTCAGTCAAGTTAAAAAAGGAAATTGAGGCACAACATATTCTTACAATATTTTAGAGAATATGTTTTTAATATGCTTGCGTGCATCAATACGTTTATGGCACTGCGTTCTCATTTATGCACAAGAAACGTGTACTTTAATATTTATTTAAAATTATAGTTAAATATTATTTGGGATTGCTTTAGCAATACGTTATGACATGAAAGAAAAGTACATTTTAAAGTTAAATATTCAATTAACCTTTTGAAACGTATTTGAAAGTTTGTTGTTCTCCATCTGTTTTCGACATCTTCTGCCTTCTGCGTGTTAACCGTCCACATAATGCTAGAATATAAAAATGAACAGGGACACCATATTAAAGAAATAAATTTAGCGTTTCTCAAACTGTGCTCCATGGACCACCAGTGCTCTTTCTAGATTTCCAAAAAAGCCAACAAGTAAAATTCAAATTAATTGCATATACCTCATTATAGCCGCTAATCTCAAGAGTCTAGAAATCTTATATCACAATTGTGTAACTTTTCTCTTTCAAGGCCGGTATTTTAGAAAACGTATTACCGATTACTCTGTATATGGATTCGCCACTTTCTTGGAATAGCAACAAAATATGGGTTTAAAGCATTATGATTGTAATACGAGCATACATCCAAATAGCTTTGCAATAATAGGCAGGCTTCTCCATCTCATTTATGCGAGTACAAATATATATTTAGTTTTTAGTTACTAAGGTTAAAGATTATCCAAACTCTAATAGCCTTGAATTATTAAAAACCTTGAATAGCCTTGAATTATTAAAAGTAAATTTTCTTCTTTCCATTTTCCTTACTTAATATACATTCTTTAATAAATTAAATGACATTTATTTAATGGCATTTCAAAAATATAAGTATACAGATAGCAAAAGATGCTAAAAAATTGCTATCGAAAGGGGGAAAGAAAATTATCCTGCAAAATTTTCTAATCTATAAAGTGGTCCTGACGTGAGAAAAGTTCGAAAAATGTAGTATTATTTGCATCGGTAAAATACAAAATGAATCAGAAATATGGTTATACATTTTACCATATCTTATGATGATAATATTTTCCAATGACGGTACCTCTGGAAATTACCATTACTAGTTCAGGACTTCGGTCTGAAGAACAGGCGAATCAGATTCATATTATTGCTTCAAACTCTTCTCCATTTGTAACGCTTCCAATTTATCCGTTGTTCTCTGCATTAATGTTGCTGAGTAGGATAATCTGAAGATCATCCTTTCTTAATGACACAGGTATAACCAGAGGTTTTCTCGAATTTATTATAATCGATCGAAAAACTGCTTCGTAAAATCGTATATCTCTTGTTTCATGTTCTTGCGATCATTCTGAAAAATGATCAGATGGAACATGGCCGATTGCAAATGCAGTTCTTACCTGCGAAATTATGCTCAAAACTATTCTAACTACTTACATATGCTCGAACATGTGACTCTTATTTGAAATTAAAAAGACAAAACGCAAATTTGTTATAACATTTACCATTTTTCTCTATCCCATGCACACTTTCCGCAAAATTATTTTTGTGGCCTTTTCGTTTGTGGCTTTCTTTAGTCGTACTCACATACTTCTGGTTACAAAAATTTTTAAAGTGAGGCAAATAGTAAGGTCATTCGGATATTTCTGAGATACACCTAAGTTTTTAAAGTTATACCTGTGAGATTTTAGGAGCTTTCAACGTAGTCTCCTCCAGCATCAGTACACTTCTGTTTCTAATTTACCAAAGCTTGAATGCCTAAAGGCATGATTTCTTGGAATGGCTGAAAAAAATACATTTATAGCCTCATCAATCTAATCTTCGAGATTTAAACATCGTAAAAAGGAGTTCTTTGTTAGATTATGACATAACCGAAAGATTTATTATAATCTATCACAGAATATCCACCTATTCACACATAGATCGTGTAAATAGGTGGATATTCCGCGAGTTTGATGAGTTTTTATGCAATAAACTCACTTGCTGAATGCGAAAATGCATTGTCATGGTGGATCATGAGTCCTCGAACATGCTCTTCTTGAAGAATTTCTGGAAGACACTTAGTGGCGTACCATTAGCTGTGTCTGACTTCTGTCCTTCCAGCTTAATGACTTTGACCAGTCCCTGTACTTCTGAAGAAAGCAGCATATATTACTTATTGCATGGCACGTTAAGTTTTCACTATTGTGGCCGTGAGATCACTTTCAAAGACCCATACTTTACTTTGCTGACGTGTTGGAACGTCATAACATAGTACGAATGCTTCATTACCAGTTGTCATTTTAGAAATAATGCAGTTGCCACCATGTTCAAGTAATTTAAGGGTTTCTTTATTCATTCTGGTACGTTCCTCATTTTGGTGCTCAATTAAATTATGAAGAAACCAACGACAAACTAGTTTATTCATACGCAATTCCTTATGAATAATTTCATGTATGGCGGTTGATCCAATGTTAAGTTCCTTCTGTATCATTTAGTAACTGCAGCGATTATCATCGATTAACATTTTCCGTATGGCAGACACATTATGCGGATTACGACTGACTACGGCCTTTCTGTGTGTTCTTCATCTTGAAAAGAGTTGCGAGCCCTGTGAACTTCTGTAAACCATCTGAATACAGTAGCACGAGAAGGAGCTTTATTTCCAAATGTTAACTGTAGACGTTGCAAGCATTCTTCTTGATTTAATACCGCTTTAAAGTCATAGAAAATCATAGAGTGACAATATTCTTGGGTCAACTCCATTTTCGCTTCTGCCTTAAATTTATTTTACGGTAAACTACTTGCAATTGGCCATCAAAAATTCGTTTGCTAGGTTAAACTATTTCGTACTTTCAAATTTAACCGTTTAATTTTTTTCTGCCACTTATTGTCTGCTCAGAAATTTCTGAGTGACCTATTTATGTATTGGTATTTTTTAAATAAGAATGAATTTTAATAACTAATTGGTTTAAAGTAATTTTGTAAAGATTTAAATATATATATATATATATATATATATATATATAATATTTAAATATATGTAATTTCTTATATATTTCGAGACAGGCCAGCCAGGTTCAGATGATGACAGAATATCAAAATTATTTCTTAACATCTCTGGTGAGTTTTGTAACATTATCATATAACACTATCATTCTATTTTTGGTATATTAATCTTCCTCTCTTAATAAATTCTTTTTTTGTTCTTTAGGACGCTCACACAGTTGATTGGAATACCACAATCATTGGTAGGACCAACATCACTGCTTTTCGGTTGATCAATCCAGAAAACGAACATTTTAAGAAATTCTTAAGGGAATGGATATTTTCGGAACAGACCATAGGGAAAGATGTACCCAGTAAACAGCCAATAACGGTAAGTTTCAGTCATTCAGTTTGAAGTTTATGAATCTGTTGAATACTTATGAAACTTAAATGAATAGCTTAAAAATATAGTTATTTCGGTACTCTTCTGTTATCGGGACCGGATTCAGAAATGTATGCGTGTGTTTGCATGTAGGTATGGATGTACGGGTTCATGTTTATGCATGTATACATGTACGTACGTATGCAAATGTGCGCATATACAAACAAATATATGCACATATACACACGTCATACATGTTCCGATAACATAAGAGTTTCATTATTTTTTATAGCGAACTACAAATGTGTTTTAGGTAAAGTACCTCATTAAAGGTAAATAGAAAATTTAAATAGAACAAAATGAGATATAAGTAGCAGAAGGGGTGACTAATTTCGCATTGCTCCGGCGGGGTCATCTAAGATAGATTGTATTCGTCTTGTAAGACAGCCAGTGCTTAGGTGCTCAAAAGGAGGAATTTTATGCAATTTAAGAAAACGAGACTGCTATTTAACATCTATTTTTTAAAACAGAAATATTGTTTGCGAACTCGTTGTATAATTTTCCTTAGTGGGATTTACGTCTAGAGAATCGGATGGTCGTGTCACGAAGAACACTTCAATAATGGTCAATAAACTACTGCTTGACCATTTTGCTTGAGTTCCCTTGAAATATAAACTACTGCAGTCATCTTTATGACAGTTAACGTACATCATATGTAAGGCCTTCTTCTGGCGTTCCCTCGTATGGCGAATGGAAAGCATGTCCAGTTAGCATTCGGAAGTTCCGGAGCGTTAGTTCCGGCGAGTTGTAATGCACATTTTTTAAGTCTTCGGCTGTAAAATAAAATTCCCTATGATCTCTATAAGTGGCATCCTAACTAGGAAAGTGTGCTGAATGATATATCATTGCCATCGCGGTTGGTGAGTGTGTCCTGGCCTTTCTAGTCGTCCTGTAAGAGTAGGAGAATGTAGGGTTTCTCTTTCTTCTACCTGCTTGCCTTCTTGGCCACCGGCTAGTATCGGAAGGTTTGGAGTTGGACTCCCGGCAATGGCACTGCACATTCTTCACGTCGTTTGTTCCAAACTGAAATGCTTAATGGTTTCTATACATTCGCAGCCTCTTTCAGTGATACCAGTTTGTCCTGCAATGGGGAATCATGCAATACAAGATATTTGGCAGTAGAGTACTGCGGCCTTATAAGCTGGTTTACTGACAAAGAAGAATTTAACAATAATTATTGACAAAGTCAGATTACTCTGCAGATTTTTTTGTAATTTTTGGCAAATTCAGATATTTGTCTATAACAGTGTCTTGTTACTACGTCTGACGATTTAAAAGTTCTTCTGGCTCACGTCTAACATTTTACTGCACATTTTTTACTTTCGTTGTGAATATTTTGATATCATTTGGTAGCTCATATTTTCGATATCATTGCAAAAGCCTGTCTATAAAGCAATGTTTTGACAATAAAACGGCAAAAAAAAATGTTTTGTTGCCGAATCGTTTGCAGTAAGTGCTCGCGTTCGGAGCAACATGATAATTCTGTCTTTGATAATTCTGTCTGAAAATTTCAAAATTATTTTGGATGCGAATAAAGTATTAGATAACCAGAAAAGATTTCAAGAAATTATAATTAAATGAAGATAATAAAATGAACAGGGATAAGTAAAATCGCTAAAGGAAAACTAATGCGATGATTGCAAAAACATTAACAAAATTATAAATTGCAATTTTTAGATTAAAAACATGCTGGAAACGGAGAAAAGAAACCGATCTTATGATATTATTTCTCATTTCAGTCTTTAGCGTTACAGCAGCATTATATTCTTATAAAGCGTTAAAAGGTTCTTTGATTTTTTTATTACTATTCAGTGTAATTAACAGTGTCATCTTACTTAATTTTTTTAAATTTCTGTTTTAAGGATATGAAACATAATTACTTTGATTAATTTGAGTCCAGTGAGAATAAACACAAGTTGATAGTTTTCTTTTTAAAGTCTACATAAGTAAACTTAATTGCGTCTTTTAATTTAATAGAAAAAAATAAGTTATATTGTTAGATTAAGAAAGGTGTGGCAATTAAAAAGTAATTTCATTTTTTAAACTGTCAAGAAAATGTTTTAACGCGCTTAAATTTGTTTTAAAAGTTTAAAAATTATATTTAAGCGGATAAGCTTTCTGAAATAAAGTACGATAACTGAAACAAATAAGTAAATAAAATTTCCTCACTTTTGGGTGTAAGTTAAAAAAAAGATTAAGTAATAATCTAACTCAACTGTTGTCTTAGATAATTCTATTATATGGATCCTAGGGGTAAAGTAATTAATTTTGCAGTGTCTGTCCTAAAAGAAACGATATTAGTGACGGGTCACTAAAAAGGTCAGGGGTGAGTCCGTGCAGCAGGGCAGCTAATGAGAAATGCAAGCTTACATTTATGGAATTTCATGCGAATCGTGTCGAGCAGTTTGAAACTCATCTTGCACGACTTAACAGCTTTCGAATCGCTAAGCAAAAAGGAAATGTGTTTCAGTACCACGGTTACAACATGGTGCGTGACAAAAGTCTACGTCAAGTTACGTAAATTCGCTACCGTCATAATTGAAATACCTGCGAGGATGAGATTTTATCGAAAGAATAATTGTACCCGTGGTATATGGCATTTAAATAAGAGACATATCGTGGATAACGAGCAACGTTTTGAGTACTAGTAGCGTACGGAAGTTCAGAAAATAAGGAAAATATAACGTTTGTGGTGAATTATAACTGGCATTTTAGAGATGATATAATATGGAAGCCTGCCGACATCTGATTTGCATTACCGTGAGATCACAGACACATATTTTCTCCAAAATGCTAAAGCTAATTAAGCATTGCTACCAAATGAAAATATTTTTTGGCCCGAAGAAATGATCAGTCGCACAGTTCGAGCTCGACATCGAGCATTTTGTTGCGTTTCCGAAGCTCACATTAGGCCGTAAATTGCATAGTTTTGGAATAATAGCGCGCAAGTAGCTGTGAGAGATTTTCTCTAAGGCAGCGTTTCTGATCCACCCGGGTGGCGGTCTGCACACGCTAATTCGTCGGTCCTTTCCAAAATCACAGGTATTTCAACAATACATGTTCCGTCGTTTACAACAGAAAAATATTAAAATCTGACAATTGTGTATGCCATCATGCATATTGCGCAATGCATTAGCTCAAGCTTTTTCAGCATGTCCGTTGCTATCTGTTTAATCTATGTTTATTAGTATCAGGGTATCTATCGTGGGGCCACGAACGTGTATTTGCGGGTAATTAAATAATACACATTAGGTTTTTTTTTTTTTTTTTTTTTTTTTTTTTTTTTTTTTTTAAGCGTTATTATTTTTTTAAGTTCGTTGTATCATGGCAATTATATTTTTAGTCTAATAAATAGGACGAACTTCTTTAAATGTTTTTTAACAAGAAAACAGATGTTAAGCAAATAACAACGATGATTTTACCTAAATTCAAATATGTTTATGAATTCCGATTATTTCAGCTTTTGATACATGAACAAAGGAAAAGCTACGAGAAAAGACTGATAGGCGGCACTTCTAGTATGACAGGTCAGGAATTTTGAATTTACTTGACCAGCGGGCGGTCGCTGGTCAGCTGTTTTTATATGCGATGATTTATAGGTTTTTTTTTGGGGGGGGGAACCACCGGTCCGCGGCCGAAAACGGTTGAGAAGCACTGTTATAAGGCTTTTCAAAAACTGTTCTTATGAATACAGTGCTGAAGTCATTGTATCCAAGCTTTAGGACCCTGCTTTGAATACAACACGTATTTTAACTTATTGGTGCTGAAATAATTTTTCAGAGTTTGCATCCTTTTTTCTTGAGCGTGTATGCTCAGTTTGAATATATGAGCAGAAACATAAGCACTGTACGCTTCCAAAATTATTTTCCTCAAAACTGGATAATGAATTAATTTTTACACATCAGGTATTAGTGCTGAATTAACAAGTGGTGCGTACTATTACAGGGTAAATCAGAACAAGCTGGCGAAACTTTAGGAAGTGATAGAAGGCAGCTATACAAGCAATATTTGACATAGAATATATGGTCTGAACGCAAGCGGTGAGAAGGTCAGTTTTCCACTGTCACACTTAAAGAACTAACGCAAGTATGAGAGGAGATACTTTAGAAAACATTTCTTAATGTAATTGATGTACATTCTCGAAGAAATTGTTCAAAAGACCTTCCAGCTCATCACACCTGCGTGATAGGGACTAACGCACATTTGCGAAGACAGTAGGAATTTCCCGAGTATCGCTGGTAACAACAGCGATTCTAGCGACTAGATCCATATTGGTTTCATATGGCCTCACAGGAAAAAGTCCAAACATGAGAGATCCCGTGATGTTCGTGGTCAAGCTATGGAACCAATTCGACCAATCCATCGCCCTGGAAATTTTGTGGTTCGTATAAATAGCCATCCTCTCTGTTATCCATGGTAGAAAATGCCGTTTGGGTCCAAGAACTGATCCTTTTTATACTACTTACAATGTCACCTAGCGGCTCGCTGTTTTGCGTTCCAACTATACATTCTATGACGAATATTTCTCATATAGCTGCCTTCTATCAACCCCTAAAGTTTTGCCCAGTTTAGAGACTCACCCTGTATACAAATAATCGCCTACAGCTGTGTTCTGTACGGGGCGCCAAATGCGATAAAAATTAAACACAAGATATCACTCAGTACCGACCTGAGTCGCCTTTGATGTTTTCTGCGAAATATATGAAAATGTTTTCACCCATTTATAATTATATCCAGTCTTCGGTTTTACTGCGGAATGCGAATGGTATTTATATTTCGTAAAATATGAAATACACTTTGATTTGAAACATTAAGTGTATTTTCATTTTATGATGAAATAAGGATAACTCACGCCCATTAATAAATGTAGATCAGCGAAATGGTTATGTTTCGCAGGCCTCCAATTAGCTGTTACGGCTGTAAATTAAGCACATGCTCAAACTGGTAGAGATTTCCGTGAGTGCTGCTGATTCTTCCTTATTGCAAGTGTGCTGTCTTTATATTCTATGAGCGTATTGTTGCGAAATGCCCAGCTGCGGTAAGATAGTTTACCAGCAAAACGGGGTTAGTCCAGGAAGTGATAGGGAAAAACAGGGATGCGCGATTGGGCGCAAAGTCCCTCATTTGTCGACGAGCGATAACGCATTCTTAGCAGTTTTATTCGGGAATGTTATTGAAAGTAGCTTTACCTATATATATACTCTGCTTGTATGCGGAGAGAGGAGTATCTTGAGTTCAGTTAGAATAGTAGAGTTTTGAGTTCGGAGATTAGCTTGACAGCGATCGACCGAGTTGAGAGCTGAACTTTGGTGCTTTGCCGTGTCACCGTTATAGCCTGAAGGTTCTGTTGCTGATTGTTTCAGAGTGTTTATCGTAGCTTTTCGACGACTGTGAACGTGCCTTTGGAACTGTCGTCTGTAATTTGGCGAATATTGTGTTTTGATTCTTCGTTAAGAGTTGGAGTGTCAATCACTCCAAATCCACGAGCCCGTAGAACACAACAGAATGTTGCGTTCTATAAGCGAGTGCCACTTTATTATACTGTCCATGGCCACTGGAACAAGTATCGTTGAAATGCCCTTTATCTCCAACCAAAATTTGACGATCGCGACTGAACATTTCGGGCTGTATCGGACAAATGACATGGAATCTCTCAGCTTCTCTGAACAGCTTGTATTATGGCTAGATCCGCTGTGGTATACATATCTTGTACTATACCAATTAGCCAATTTAAGCATCGTTGCATGATCATCTAAGCATACTTTAATGTACCTGAAATCTGCTAATACACAAATTCCCTAGCTCTGAGCAGTCCGTCACTTTTGTTTTCGGTGGGCTACCCCTTTACGTTTGTCTTTTAATTCTTTTTATATTTGCATACAGAATATTCAAATGACCATTGATTGTTATGTAATGAATGCTTACTTCAGAGAGCGCAATTGTTTTCTTTTCGCTTGATGTACGTTTGGTTCCTTAGAAATGAAATTTATATTCATGAATGTACCTGAAAACCGCATGTTTAAATTTATGTGATTTGTTTGCTACAATGATTTTCGAGGTACAGAAATCGCCTTCAGGGAATCATTTTAGATTTCTCTTTTATAATATGAGCACAAGTAAAAACACATTTTTCTTCCAAAAAGCAGATACCTAGTATGGCCTTAGTTGTAAGATAAAACATACAACTAAGGATCAAGTAAAATTTAAGCAAATACATATGTGAATGTTAATAGCTTCGATCTGATCACTCCAATATGCAACCCGACTTAGACATATCAAAGGAAGATTCAGGTTTGAATTCTCGTTTTATTTAAAATCTTAAAATAAAACAAAAGAATGGAATTTGTAAGCTATCGACACTACAGAGTCGATCTATCGAGACTATAGAGTCGAGCTATCGAGACTATACTTAATAGCGTGTCCAACCGGCATGTCCAAATTAGTTTTGTGTGTAGTTTGAGAATATGTTTTGAAGATTTCTGAAATAAGCAAGTTTGGAGTTGTTTATTAGCATTCCGCATCTATTTAATTTTTTAAATTTTTGTCTTTGTTGGCCACTGCAATCAACGGTTGAGATGCTAAAGATAGCTAAAGAGCGGTAATTCAATCTGGGTTCAAATCTTGATAAAAATGCTGGTTGTACGAAACCTTTCGAAATGTTTTCCGGTCGTAATATGAATAGGACTTAATTTCTTCCCTTAGAAAGTGCTCTACAGGGACATTTCCTAGAATATTACGAGAATTGATTAACTGAAATAATAAAATTCCTAAAATTTATTTAGATTGATGTGTATAATCTCGCAATTTTTTATTACATTTTCGTTTTTCATTAACTAAGATACTAACTCAAAATGTGTTTAATAAAATTTTAATATCCTATTTATGATTCGTTTATTTAGACAGAAGCCGCCCTTGTGTACGATGCTGTAACAATGTTGGCAAAATCTCTACGTGAGCTGGAGAGGACGCGACAGCTTGATTTGAGATCTATGTATTGTGATGAATCTGCAGTTTCAAGTCACGGAAATGCTACTATTTATCACATGCAAATGGTAACTAAACTCCTAGAAAACGTTCATGGTATATTTTTAAAACTATCTTTATATTTTGTTTGTCTGTTATACGAATAAAATAAAAATGAAATTTATTCCGGAAACCAAAGATTTTAAAATAGAAATTACAAAATTTCGGCGAAACTGAAAGCATTATTTTGTAATCAATGATCTAGTTATTTTATAATAGTAATAAGGGAACAAAATTAGCTATAATGATATAATTTTAATTTTGTGTGTAATTGGTCTGTCATTCTTAGCTGTAAAACTAAAATAATTACGATCTGTTGCTTTATAAGAAACATAAATCTTTATATAGATTTCCAGTTATTGCAAGTATGCAGTATGTATGAGAATGTCCATGTTATTCAGTTTGAAAGAAAAAAAAAATTCATTTAAAAGCACATTTTTCTCAAATCAGGTCGAAGTTATGAAATCATTTATAACATAAAAGATTATATTATTAAATTTATTTTTTTATTTCAATATAACTTATAAATATGAAACGCAATTATTATGTTCTAATTATTTTCGATTTTACTGTAGAAACATAAAGAAATACTTCATATGAAAACTCTTCGTTTTCATTCTAAGATTAAAATTTAATGGAATACCATTGCATTTTTTGAAGTGAAATAATAGTTTTATTTATTTTTATTTCCTTTGTTAAAATATAATAACTTTCTTTTTATTCCCCTTTTGCATTTTCATTAGACGAAGTGGAGATTTTCTACGTTTAAAATTTTAAACAAATATACAATGCCTGATTGTTATAAGCAATTTAGAAAAAAAGCATTTATTTTGTAATAGGCTATTGTAAAAACATAATGTCCATAATCAGACAAAGAGATGACAATTAAAATTTTGAAAAGTCATTCGTTCTTAAATGCATGAAAAATATCATTAAGCTATTATTAAAAGGATGAATAATAACATTAAAGTATTACCATAAAAATTGATTCTCATCATGTATAAAAACTCATTGCTATCAGGAAAATTACTTAGCTATCCTACATACATTATTCGAACTTTTATTTCGTTATTGCCATTTCCCTGGAAGAAGTAATTATCTATTTTGTTGAAGGTTATTCTTAAACAGAAAAAATAAATAAATGCATTCTTAAGCATGTAATGATTTTTAAAATATTACCAAAGAAAATATTCATTATTTTCATTATGATCATTAAAAAAGTAAAATACAATGCTGTGTTCTATTTTAATTTTTCAATCCTTCTTTTCTTATGCAAAATGCAATTGGATGCAATTTGAACTGATAGTAATTTACCTATGTTAATTATTGAATGTAATTGAAACATTCAGTAATTAATTTTTTTTTCCGATCATCACGATCTCTCACACATTCATAAAGTTCTTAAATATATTATACCTGAATATATATTATAAGTTATTTTCTCCTTCGTGGCCTTCATGCCTTCGTCACACTCGGCACGTATTCGAGAGGTCTTTGTTCGAGTCCCAGCAACGGCATTCTCAATTTTCATGTCTCCTGCCTCTAAATAGCCTAATGAACGACAGTGGCGCCCGAATTAAAAAGCGGTGAAGGATAATTCTCCACGATCAGGATTTGGAGATTGGGTCCCCTAAATACCCAGTTGCTCTTTAAAGGGAGGAGTATGTAAGGTGCTTTCTCCCTCCTTTCTGCATGCTTTCGTGGTATAACGGTAGCACACTCGGCGCATATTTGAGGTGTCCAGTTTCGATTCCCGGCAAGGGCGTTGCTCACTTTTTATGTCTTTCGCTTCAAATAAAACTAATGTCGTTATAAATAGTTGGAAACAGCAATGGGTTTATATTCGAGAATTAGGAAAATGGTTTTTAAATTTGTTTTCGATATAAAAATCTTTATGTGTAATTCTTAAGCGGCCCAAAAAAATTCAGAAGTGAAGAGTTCATGAAATTAGAATCTCACTGGGGGTGAAGGTAGTTATTAAGTTAATGGTTAGAAGTTCATTGACTGTGATAATTATTGTAACTAATCTTGCTTCTCTGGCAGCAGAGCAAACACACAGGATTCATCGTAACAAGGGTGCAAGATTGCAGCCAAGAGCCTTGTGCGCCAGAAAACGGACATTGGAACTTTGCTCAGTTTTGTTCGTAGTTTTTGAAGGAAAGTCTCCTCGGGGGAACTGGTCCTAGGGTCTTGCATTCCTCTTTCCCTATCACGAACTGCTCAAGAGGACTTTGGGCTCGCCGCATGTTTAAAGTGCCCTCGATCAAATAATTCAAGTATATCCTAGAAGGATGATAGTTTACAATTTACACTGCCCATAAACCTTTGATGTTTGCTTTTGGTCTGGAAAACGAGAAGGCCTGACCTAGGCAGGTGTATCATTTACAATATATCTCAAGGTTTTCAAAAGCTGTACGTCACACTGGCAGAATAGACAATATCGTTGGAGATTCGTTATCCAGCTTCGTGATGTAACAGCTCTTTTTACGCATAATATTATCTTTTTTGTTGCGGAGTTTAGTTTTTCTAGATTGTCAAGAAGAAGAATGTGAATTTGCTTTAATGGTGTAACCCTAGCGTCCTCTTTTATTACGTGAATTAAAATATGTTTAATCCATTCTGTAATTGTCATTTAAGTTATTAAATTATCCCATGCATTGATTAAGCATAGAGTCTACAATAGTGCTTCCATACCCCACACACATTATACATTTACAAATAACGATGCCCTCTCCGGGATTCGAAGCCGGGGCCTTCGATACGCAGTCAAAGTCACTAACCACTATCCCGGTTGGGAGACATCCATAAATATCGGAATTAAGTAATTCAAATTAAACTAGAAAATGGTTTTGTCTTTAAAGAATTTCTTTTTTTAAAGATAATAACGGATACATGATAGGTGAGTTTAATATAAAACCCCACATGTGTATAATAATATGAGCCGAAGCTATAAGCAAAGTCTCTTTTAATATGCAATTAATCTTCGGTACCTCATTTGAATGCTTGATTTTGTTACTTTTTCACATTAATAGCATCCTTTCGAAGGTGCCAGTGGCTATATCAAAATCGATAAGCAAGGACGACGAACAGCCTTCTCAATTGATATGGTGAAAATAACTAATAAAGGTATAATGAAGGTAAGTGTAGTTAATTATATTTGATCATACATACCATTTGTAACATTGTTTTACGTAGCAAAATAAATTTAAAATACGAAATGAATGTGAAAACATTCTGTTGTTATTTCAATATTTTCACTCTATTTTTTGTATCCTGTTTTTCTAAATGTCAAATTATTTTTATATAGTATGGTGTTTTAAATGTATACTTTATTTATGTTTAAATGCACATTACTTAAAATTTAGCTGCTTTAATTTTTATTACTATTTAACGTAGGTATATTTTACAGTTTATTTTTGTTCCTGCACAAATTAGGTTCCAGAAAAATATCATTGTAGTTTTTTTAATTTACGGTTAATATGTGTTCTTTGGACCTAAATGATGTAGAGTTCTATATCATTGTCGAATATTGGCGTGCTTCAGTATCATAATAGTGCACATAGGTAGTTGATTTTAGAGCAATTAAATGTAAAATCGTCGTATTTCGCTGCGTAATGTAACATGAAATATCTAAAGAGAAAATCTATCCCGGTAAAGTAAGAATACAGGGGCAAATCCATTTAACATTGAGTAAATGGGTACCTCGGTAATTTGTCGAGATAATTTCGGTAATTTGAAAGCAGTTTTGGCGACTTATTTTGTTACCACATTCGGCGGCCATTTGAAGGCATTTTGCATCCCTGTATCTCCGTAATAGGTATTGTAATTGAGTGAATGTAATTGATCACTGTATTAGCTGAAACCGTAATTCGATGCTCATATTGCTTTCCAGTAATTTCGAGAAGCAGAAAGTACTAAAAATATCTCGGTGGCCGGAGGGAAACGATTTAAGATCGGAGAGAGAGCTCCTCTCAGTAGTAGTTGAAGTATTGTTCTTGTGAGATTAGTTTAGCGTGAACTGACATTATCTCCGTTCTCTTTAAATTCGCTTTATATTGCGTTGTGTTTGACGTCCTTAGTAGTTTGAAGTGTAACTACTGATTGTACTCTGCAATCCTGTGAAAACCTTCTGTGGAAAATTCCAGAACTTTGAAATTTTATTAATCTGTCATCGGAACTGTGTACATTCAATCTATTACGAACCCGTAAACACGCAACAATTACTTTCTCTGAAATATCTCAAAATTTGTAACACCTAAACAAGAAATAACATTCATCACTTTTTTAAAGAAATAACTGGCTTATAAAATGTATCATTCTAACTGTTTTCCTCTGAAATGTTTCATCAAACGGTTGCTATTCTTTCGTGAATTATTTAAAAAATTATGTAGACAAACATTGCATAACTGCAAAGTTACAAACAATTTTAACACTTCCAGAAATGGATTTTCAAACAGAAACTTTTATCAAAGTGGTTGAGTATTGCTAAAAGAAAGTTTTTACAGCAATTCATGCAAAAAGATAGGCTTGAACAAAAGGATGGTCCCCTTCAAACAACTTCAAGAGAGAAAAGAATGCGTTAGAAATCAAGAAAGAAATCATTTTTGTTCGCCAGAGTGCTTCAAAGAGAAACTGTTCTTAATGTAGTGACAGAGCAATTTGACACGCACTGATGAACGAAAAGTTGTTTTTTCTATGTCCAAGGCACGTTTCGTTTTTAAGAAAATGCATACTGGAGGAAAAAAAAAAAAAAAAGGCTAAGAAACAGTTTATTCACCGAACTCAAGGCCATACATGTGAACAAAAATAAACAAGAAACATTGTTTAAGGTGGAGGTAACAATCGTATGTTTTGTTTTTGGTGATATGGCATGATCCCAGATTTTCGTAGAGATAGTATCATGATTAAGGAGATATATGTGAATATCTTAAGGAACACACTGTTACCAAGGGCGGAATTTCTCATTTCACGAGCATGTAGTTACAGCTACAAACAAAGCAAAGGCGGCCTACATGGCATTATATCCTTTATTAGGACGAAAATCCAAATTGAATTTGAAGATAAAACACAGCCTGTATGTTACACTTATTCGTCAGATCTTACTTTACGCAATCTCGGCATGGGCCACTGCTACAAAAACTGACAGACATAAAATGAACGTATTACAGAATAAGATACTTCGAACTATCACAGATGCACCGTGGTTTATTCGAAATTCTCAGCTATATCAAGATCTCAAGATTCTCCCAGTTCGGGAACAAATTCTTACTACGGCTCATAATTTCTTTACGAATACGCAAAACTCACCTTATACTACAATAAAAAATTTAAAAACTTACGATCCCGCTGAGGAGAATGTGGTAAAATGCTCACGTTCGATCCACCATAACCCACGGTGGTGATGATGGGCATATTGTAAATATTTATTTAACTTCATATATAACCAAGATTTTCATTCAATATTTAACAAAGTTTTATGTAAATGTATAAATTGTGTGTATAAATTGTAAAGCCACGGACTTAGTTTCTCATTTATGGACTTGATTTGGCAAAGCCTTTTGAACTTTGTGAAAAAAATTACTTATTTCAAGTGTAAAGTGTAAAAATTTAATGTGGTGTTTACCATACTCATTAAACGTTCCGCTAACCTAAAATGCAACTTAAAATGCAGTCCATTGGCTAATAGAAGACACGTGACCTCACACCAACTTTCATGCAAAAATAAATTTATAAGTTCAAATACTCGACTAAAAATGCTAAAGTTATATTAATACATTTACAGAAAAAAAAAAGGCAAAGAAAGTTTATAAATTGCTAATATAGCTTAAAACGTCATTTATTCAAATAATAAGGAATTTAGTGCAAATTGGTGTTTTTTAAAGTAATGTTCTCCTTGCAACGGCAAGGGCCAATAAGAATGAGACTTCACGTCATGTAGCATTTCGACTCTCACGTAGCTAGCTTTTAAAACTGTCAGCAGATATGCCATGCACCTACTCAAATAAGATTGCATCTTAACTGATCTCCAATGCATGATCTACAATGATTCTGAAATGATTCTCCTGTCTTGCCATCTTGTAAAAAACATTTTTTTCGTCCCCAGGACGTGGTGCTAATGCACCTTTTATCTAATTAAACAATTATATGATTGTCAACGGGCTGAAGAGCTACTGGTTTATACTCTCAGAAGAAATCACCAGAATCAAAACTTACTATTTCAGATTTTACCAAGGGCAGAAGCGTTAAAACCACTAGAATAACGATAACAAAAATATGATTTGAAATGCTCAGATTCGAAGTTGTTGAAAAGCTATGCTACTTCAACCTCTGACGAAATGGTTCTAGCAGCAACGCTGAGAAAGAGCTGGTTCGAAAATGACTGTTGTTTCACAATAGCACCCTTGATCAGCGGACATAAGACCATTATTAATTGATGGAATGAAATAAAGGATAACATAAAGAGCAAATCACCTTTCATATTAGGTGCATTTGGTAGAATTGTGTACCGCAAGCATATTATTCTATACTTGTTGAATAAAATCAAACATTCGGCGACTTCATGCCCAACAGAAATAGTAATGCAATTTTTGAAAACAATGCTTTTGTAACTTAATAAAGAAGTCTAATTTTGCAAAATAAATAAATAAATAAATAAATAAAATCTCAAAGCTTTCAGATTTTACATTATGCCTAAAAGAGCGTTTTTAACGTTTTGTGTGTTACCATTATTTATTAAATATCATGTTCTTCGCAATTAAAACATAAAATTTAATTCAACAGTAATATCGCAAAATAATTTTAAAATGAGCATATCTTTAGATTTCCCGATACACAGTCTTGCACGTTGAAGATTAAAATGCTTCTTTTTCCGTACAGTGTCGTCATTGCTCGGTTTGAAATCGTTGAGTTTGTTAATCAAAAACTCGTATTACAAAATACGAAATCGATAATAAAAGAAATTCCAAATTAAGTCTTCTTGAAGCCCACATTCGGGTGGAGACGTTTATGGCTCTAGATACCGTTGTTTTATCACAATGCGAGAAACATACATACATATATACAGGTTTTTCATTATTCAATTTCTTTAAATATAATAATATACATATATAAGGGCGATAATATTTAGTGGCAGCAATTTGAAAAGTGGTACTCTATTTATAGTCATTCAATGAAAAATGTTATTTCGAAACTAATACCCAACTGTGACTAACGTCGCTTTTCGGCTAATAAATAAAGCCTTTTGCTCTGAATAACTAGGTACTTGTATTTTTAGCCCAAAGGAGTGGTAGCCCGGAAGGACTATTAGTGTCCGAACAGCCTTTTTGCTGTTTCACTTTTCAAATTGTTGCCACCAAATATTATCGCGTTATATTAAATTTAAAGAAATTAAATAAAAAATGACAGTACGTAGAGCCATCGTATTTTGAATAACGTAATTCTCCACCCGAACATCGGAACCTGGAAGCCCGAATTTTGAATTTGTTTTATTAGCTATTTCTTATTTTGTAAAACTTTAACGAATTTTTGATTAACATGCTCGACGATTTCAAAGCGAGTAATGGCAACATTTAACCAAAAAAATTATCTCAGCGCGCGAGATTGTCTAGCAGAAATTCTAAAGATATGATGTTTTTAAATATGTGATATTGCTGTTGAATTGAATTTTATGTGGTTTAAATGCGAAGAACATGGTATTTAATAAATACAAATAACACACAAAACGTTAAAAACTCCCCTTTGTGCGTAATTTAAAATCTGAAATCTTTCAGGTATTTTTATTTTCTGTTTTTTCCACTGTATTTTTAAGATAGTTTGGAGGAAAAATGTGACACGGAAACATCGTAATAATCGGTGTCGGTGATGATGCTTTCAGAATCAATAAACTTTACCATTGGTGTCCAAATAATTGACTTTAACCACGAGTTAAAGACGTTAAGCAGACTAACTCTAAAGTATGCAAAAAATAAAAGGTGTTTCTATTTCTTTGGCCATAACAGTATAACAATAATACGAATTTCAGATATCCTGTAATTTATATATATCTGTTAATAAACGTTTATAAAATGGTTCGAGATTAGGTTTGGACTTGGATACTGTGCTTTTCTTACAAAGAAAATAAAAATGTAAAAGAAGATAA